GCTTAGGGTTTAGGATTTTTAAGGTTCCTTGTGGTATTCCTGTTCCCGGGAGCTAAATTGGGTCAATACGCAGGAGGTTCCAAGATGGGTGCATCATCTGCGAAGTCCCACAAACGTGGTTCAGCGCATTTTTGAGGTGTGGCATTTGTATCCCCACCACGGTATCGACTTTGCAGCTGACTTGCAGCTCAAATGCTTGGGCATAGATGTTGTGCATGCTCTCATGTCTCGAAAGGGGCATGCATCGAAGGTCTGTTGGATTTTTGTTGATTCAGCTCGGCAAGCTTACCTTATTCAAATTCTTCATGGGCATTACTTTAGCATTTCCTGGACCTCCTAACAGTATCTGGACCCTTTTGGAGCCCTACACCCTAAACCCAAACGCTGTGAGATTTGCTTTTTGTTGGAGTGCTACCGCACTCGGAGTTGTATCCGACTTCAGAGTTTCTGGAGGGTTAAGTTTCGGGGTTGTGGTTGGAGAAGTTCGGCTAAGTCACCACGATAAAGAATTTGTATTGTCTAAAACACATCCATATTTTACTAACAATTTTCAAATTCTGCAACAGCAACGCAGTTTGGGGTTTGCCTTGTGCTGTGGCGGCTAGCGGCCGTTTGCATGGTGGGCTTGGCTGACCATCAATGCCAACTGCATCCATAGCCCTTGAACCCTGAACCATGACATTGATAACCCTATACAATACAGTAGTTTGGATTTTTTCCATTATCCCTATATAACCTTAGTGTTATACCCTATTATACTATAGTGGTATTTTCTTTTCCATTCTATTATCCTTATAACCCCAATCTATCCTTAACCTACAGAAGTTCTCTTGAAGTTCCAGGTTTCTGCAACATCTCTGTAACACAACCTGTACCACAACGACTCCACCTTGAATGTTCATTGCTTCAGGGTGTATATATACATATATTTTTATATTCGGATGATATAGGGATAATGGAAAAGACAACGGAAACTACCGGGATAACAGGGATTAAGTAGGGGTTTATGTCGTGGTTATAGGGAATGTTTGTTGCTGGGGCCAGGGGGATTTTCACTCGTAAGTGTCGCAAGTCCTTTATGGTTTGTCTTTGAGAAGAGTTAGTTCTTTTGTCATCGCATCTGTAGCTCAAGTCCAAAGCCCCAAACCATCGAATGTAATCCCTATGTAGTGTAGATTATTCCCAACCAGCCCCCAGTAAGAAAAAGCTCACAAACGCAGATCCAGCAGGAGTCGCTCTTCTCGGCAGACTATTGGCGACGGCTCTGTCCCGACCTGCATGTTGAGGACAAGACTTACCAGGCTCTCCTGAGTTTGAGGTTCAGGGTCTGGGTTTAGGGTTTAGGGGTATCTGTGAGTTTGGGGTTTAGGTTTTTTTGGGTTTATAGCGTTCTGTTGGCATACTCTTTCTCGGGTTTTTTGTAGTGAATTGATGAAGTGTGCTCACTCGCCTTGAGGCTCCTCCGTTTTGAAGACTACAATGCGTGTAGTTATGGATTCCAAGCACTCCAAGCTGGACGCAACACCTTTGCAACTCACGGTTAGTGTTTCGAATCTAGCAATGCTTAGTAAGAATTGCAAGAATAGGCAGAACAATCTTGGCTCAGCACCAGCTCACCAGGAGCAATCAAAGCGATGAGATCTTGTCAGAAGCATTCCTTGAAATCATGACTAGGCAAGGAGCTGACAAGCAATTGTGAAGCAGAACTCCTGAAGCCCTGCCACAAACCCTTTGGACGTCAACCAAAGGGCTTTGCAGAGAGTTCTCTGACTCTGTGAGCCCCACGCAAAACCTCAGGGCTGTCTCTGTACATCCTAGACTCTCTCTCTCTCTCTCTCGCTCTCTCTCTCTCTCTCTCTCTCTTCCTCCCCACACATTTTTTTTCTCTTTTTGTGCCGAGCGTCGCCAGGCCGAGGTCCTTGCACGTGATGGGCGATCTGTCGCAGCCACATCGGACTGCCGCGAGGAAGGGATCCAACAGGTTTCATGCATTATGTGAGCCATGGTCTAAATTCCTTAAAAGGGGTTTAATAGGAAATTGTTTAGGGGAGTTAGCTCGTGTAAGCCCTTGTTGAAGGCTTGGCCCAAGCCTCCTTGCAGGTCCGTGCGCGCATTTTGGAGGAAGGCGCCTTCGGAAGCATTAGTGAAAATGTGGTTAAACACGAATGTATTAAGCGGGTGCAGGGCATTTGAACGCGCTCAAGGAGTTTGATGAGCCCACGCCCTTCAAGGCGAGCAAGTGAAGGATTTTGCTTCAGGTTTGAGCTCAAGGGTTGCAGGTGAGCTAAGGCTCCCTTTAACCAGTCAAGACGCAATAGCCCATTTGTGGAAGCATGAGAGCATTACTTCGGTCTTTCCTTACAGCGGAGTGGCTTGATCAGCCGCTGACCACAAGAGGGACAGGTTCGGCAAGGCAACTTAGGGTTTAGGGCATAAGCCCTGGACCCCCAGAAGAATCCCAAGTCATCAATGAAGACTGACCTTTGATAATATCACCTAATATAACCCCAACATATACCCTATTATAATATAGTGGTTTCCATTTTATTTTCCATTATCCCAGTATATAACTATAAGATGCTTGGAACCTCAGACCTGAGCCCCCCCGGTCCCAAGGCTTTGCGGCGCTCTCTGCGTCCCAGTTGTCTTGGACCACTCCCGTGGACCGTCTCGCCCAAGGGGTGCCTTGGGCCAAGAGTTAAAGTTTAGGATTTCGGCTTTTTGTGTTGAAGCCCAAGTCTTCTTGGCGAATCGTCTGAAAGGAATGTCAGATACGACCAACAAGCGCTCAAGCTTCATTTGTACATAGCTGCAAGACTAGCTGAAGGAGTCCATGCAACGGAGGTGCATGTTGTCTCGAGATCTTTCCGCATCTTTCTCCATATTGTTCAGTCCACTACTCAATCCACATGCAGTGCGCTCAAAAGCCGTCTTGTCTCTTATGCTTTCCGTCCTGATTCTGCAGATTTGGTAGTTCTCCAAAATCAGGGTCCCTATTATACCCCCAAGATATTATAACTGAATTATAACTCTTTTTATAGGGACCCCCATAAACGGGTCTCTAATTTTCACCATTTGGTGTTCACTTAGAGGTCCCTTGGGATCTGAGGTTCTCCAACTTGAGCAGCACGGTTGGCCGGCCACGCCGCTGTACTGCAATTTGATCAGGGAGTTCTGCTCAAGTCTACACGAGTACCGTTTAATTTAAGGTGATGGGATGCTTATAGCTTCTGCAAGATTGGCTGCTGCAAAATGGCATGGCGACTTGATGTTCTTTCATGGACACTTGCGTAGGGACTTCTGGTTGAGTGTTGTAGTTTCAGGAATATGATTGGCTGGTATATGTTCAGAGGCTTTGCAAGGTCTTTGGGGTCATTCAAGCAGTCTCTGGGATTGCATGAAGGTTTCTTGGGCTTCCTTCGGGGTGATAGGGAAGAGTTGACAGAGGGTGTAAAAACGTGGACAAAAACAAACAATTTCCTGGAAGTGATATGGACGCATGACTTCCTTTTGACCTATGTGCGATGTGGGCTACCTTGCTTAACGCATGCGTAGGGATGTTACTTGTGTTCCTGCTATCCCCCCCCGCATGACCAGGCAGCACACTTTCCTGGGCTCAACGTCCTGGGGAAATTGGAATAGGAAACTTTGAAATTGGACCTCCAACATCACCTGTTGCTTGCTTGAATTCTTGTATGTTGTATCTGAAGTTCTGCCGCCTCATGCTCCTGAGAGAGCAGATTGCATAGTGAGGTGGCCAACATTCCTACGTGTATACTTTACGCGAGTGGCTTGCTAGATGCATGCGCCTCCCTTATACCACTCTTGCCCCACAAAATGACAGAATAATGCCATGTCACAGAGCAGAAGTAACTCCTCTAAATCATAAACCTCTCGCCCCCCCCAACAACAATCATCCTCATATGGCAAATCGTATAGGGATTCAAGAGCAACAGTACCCAGACACGGTGAGAGCCTTCGTTGAGTGCAGTTTCTGCCCTGAGCCGCTTAGCGTCTGGATTGTAGCCTTAGTTTTGCCGAACTCAAAGTGCCCCAAAAGGCAGGCCCCACATAACAACTGCACAGCTTTGACCCTGAGCCTCCTACCACGAATGCTGGATCTGGATAGCTGTAGGCAGGTAGGTGTGATGAAATGAATCACATGAGTTTTGGTCTCTGTTGCGGCGATCCTGCTTGATCCGGGTAGCCGGATTCAGAGAGTCCTTGGTCCGTTTCACTATGCTTATTGTAATTTTAGTAAAGCAGTGAAATAGGACTACTAGTAATACTAGTAATAGCAGTGGTAATAGTACTAAAAGTAAGAAGAGCAATAAAGCGCCACGAGTGCTCGAGACAGGGGTTTGGGGCACACATGCCATGGCTTTTGTTGCAACTCGGCTGTTCACGTCTTGATAGTTGTGAGGGAGCGGTTGACGGATCAACTGGTGTCCGAGGGACATAGTTCCGAAATCATTCAGCAAGCCGATCAGCTGGCTGTTGGATTGTGGAGTGGCTGCACTATCGATCAAATACTCGAAGAATTGAAGGAGATTCTGCCTACTTCCGTATTTAGGAGCGTCCTTGCTTTCTGCCAGAACGAGTATCCGATTCTATACTGCTCACTGCCAAAGACCATCACTGGTTCCAATGTGCAACATATTTCATGGCCTCAGCTCCACCCCTCAGAACGTTCGCTTGAATGATGTTCATGCTGAAGTGCCGATTATTGAAGACACAATCGGTGTGCACAAGCTTGGTGAGATAACAAGACATCATGACGCGAGCTCGCCCCGGTCCCAATTCCGGGTGCACCAGAAACGTTCAGGACAATGCGGTCTGTATGGTGGTGCAGGCGTGCGGGTCGGAGCTCTCGCCCCGAGGGCTCCAGAAGGTGCGGCGTCGCCAGCACCGAAGCCATGGGTAAGTGTGTCCCATGAGCAGGTTAATGGTCGTAGCAGGGTTCGGAAGCGAGCCTACATCAGAGCCATGAAGCGCCTTAGGTGCCTTGGAAGAATGATACGGGTCCGTCAAGGACTGAGGGGAGAAGCACCTTCTTCACACGGAACTGCAGTGGCCTCAGTCCAGAGGTCCTTGCTGAGACTCTTGCATGGGCGTCCGATACAGGGGCATCGTTTTTCGCGTTGCAAGAAACGCACTGGAACTTCACATCGGATTGGCGATCCGATGGGTGGCTGTTCGTGCATTCATCTGCTCCGAAGCCAAAGTCTGGTGGGGTACTGTTTGCCATACGCTCTGATATGGTGGAAGCTGCATCTGTGCGATGGTCGGAGTTGGTGCCTGGTCGCCTTTTACACGTGCGATGCCTACACCAGAAACAGGCAGTTGATTCCCTCACGCTTTACCAGCATGTCAAGACCCGAGGTGACACGTCAGATCTGCGTACCAACCTTGGACAACGGGATGGTGTATGGCGTGCGCTTGAGAAGGCGCTATCGGCCATACCATGGAGGTCGTACGTGGTGCTGGCTGGTGACTTCAACACAAACTTCTCCTTTGGAGCCCCGCTCATTGGGAAAAGCACCCTAAACAAGGAACCTCTGGAGATGTATAGGCGAGAATCAGCACGAGTTCATGCAATGCTTGATGCCAAGGGCCTGGTTGCTCTTAACACGTTTGGAAGGCAGGTTCTGACATACGTTCACCCAAACGGATCAAGCTTCATCGACTTTGTGATGGTCAGGAGGCCAGTAGCGGACGCGAGGGCAAGGAAAGCCTGTGCAATACGGGCGCCTCTGGCGTCCTGGAGGACAGTCGGTCACAGACCGGTGATGGCCAGTCTGCGCCTGGAATGGAGGCTGTGACCAGATTCAACATTTTGTCCAGTGTTCTTCGGACTACTAGCAAGTTCAGTGAAAGAAATCGTGTACGCATATACAAATGCTGCGTGTGGGCCTCACTGCGCTATGGCCTTTTTGCCACGGGTCTAAACCAGGCAGGCTTTAACCGGGTGGTCGCCGCCATTTGCGCACAGCTCCGGAAGGTCCTACGAGTACACGAACATGGCGTCTCCAATCAGCAGGTGCTTCGGAGAGCTGACCTTGATCCCATGCAGTTCTTGGTAGACAGTGGAGGTGTTTTGGTAGAGCGCATTTCGGACGATACCACCAGGCCATCGGAGATTCTGAGCATCGAGAAAGCAACCGCGGAGGAGAACCTGCAGGTTTTGACTGCTATTCTTGTCAATCAGCCGCACTCTCAACTCATAGAGAGATCCTACGCTCATTCAGGGTGGCTGTGTATGCCAGACATGTGGGCTGATCTTTGCTAATGAAGCAGGCTTGGCAATGCATGTCAAGAGCAAGCACTCCGAGATCCATCTTAAGGCAGGGGTGGAGTTCAACCGTGGATCTCATTCACTTTTCGGAGTTCCCTTTTGTCGACTATGCAGAAGGCATTTGCATGATTGGAGCTCTATGGCGAAACACATCACAGCAGGAACGTGTTCCAGCCTCAAAGATGCGTTGGCAAGGGGTATCTCACATGATGAGCTGATGCGCGAGGTCATGGAGCAAGAACAGCTCGATCCGCCCAAAGCGCCGATCGAAATGCCGGAGGTAGAGGATATTGGTGAGTATGCGGAGTGGATGGATGCCCCAATTTTGAGTGTGCTGCAGGACACTGTTCTTCATCGGCGTCTACGCTCGGGATGCGCCATTTGCAGGCAGAGGCTGGTGGGCATTAACAGGGTTAAGACACACTGGCAGCTATCTCACAAGGCTGCTTGGGACAAGATCAGTGGCACGATCAGAGGCAATCTCAGAAGCTTGAGCTCTGTGTTTCGGAGTCCATGTCAGTTTTGCGGGAGCCGCGCCAAGGATGCCTCAGCTCATGCTACTCATGTCCGGTCATGTATCAGGCGCTGGCCATTCGTGAACTCCATGGCTTAAGTGGCATGGCAGAAGCGAGGAAGGAGTCACAGCCTACTCGACCTCGACAAGACAAGGCAGACCCGCAGTACATGCGCTTTGATGTTGCGCAAACTCCGTTGGGCAGGGCTTTTGGATGGTCCGCTTCATCCGCTGGTACTATGCCTGTCGAAGGCAATATCTGCAAGCAGGCCAGCCTTCTTCAGCGGCCATGCGTTACTCAGTCGCTAAAAATTGCAACCGTGAGGCCCCCAGATCCTCATCCGAACAGCGCGGCAGGAGCCGTTCCTCTTTCAGATTTTCGTCTGGTCAACCCACATTCGCTTTGTTATGTCAACGCCAGTATTATGGCCTTGCTACATGTCCGGGAGGCAACTGGACTTCAGGAGGATGCCTTGGACTCTCAGACTCAGCACTGAGTTACGTTCACTCCGAAGGCTCACTCTGGGTTGGCGGTTCGGGCCCGTACAGCAGGATGCTGCTGAGTTCTCCAGCCAAATACTCACGAGGCTTGAGGGGCAGTGTCTTTGGCAGTCGCGGATTGAAGAGGTAGAGGGCATCAGAATTACGGACACAGGCGCCTTCCTTTTCCTCTCCATGCCAACAGCTCCTTCCACGTTGCAGGATTTGATTGAGGCGTGGACCTTTCAGCGCCATGTATATGGTTTGACGGGTGAGTGGCCAAGGGTCCCTGTGGTTCTTGGCAGGTATGCGGGACGGGCCAAAAACCAGGCCAGAGTAGCTTTCGACGGTGATGTGATGCTCCCAGTGTTTGGTGAGGGTAGACTTCTACGCCAAGCACGATATCAGGTTTTGGCTGCGCTGGTTCACCTTGGAGAGCGTCCCACTTCGGGCCACTACCGCTCGCTGCTTAGAGATGGGGATGCATGGTACTACTCAGATGATGCAACACCCTGCACTCGCACCAGCTTGACGCGGGAGCACGCATGCAATGTATACCTTCTGTGGCTGGTCAAGCGGGGCATGTAGCGGAGCCTAGATCTCTCCAGCAGTGGCCATGACTGAGATTCCTGCTGCTGTTGTTTCTCCTTCTGAAGAGGAAGCCTTCTGGAAGACGTATATGCCATCTGGGATTGCCAGCACGGCTACCGACGCTTCTATGGACCCCAAGAATGACGGGGGATCGACTGCCGCCACGGACACCGCCCAAGGTCACAAGGAGGACGACAGAGGTGGCAAATGGGTTCGAGACCAGGGACAACGTGGCAAAGGTCGCAACAGCGGCCGGGGCGGCGGCGCGTATGGCCAAGCGGATTCCCTTGCCAAGAAGAAGGACCAGAGATGGGGCTATGATCACGACTCGCGTAGTCAGGAGAAGACCATAGCCGATCTTCGACGTCAGGTCCAGGCACTGCAGAAGTGCGCTCTTCGGCGCGAGGACTCGCTGCAAATACTTCGTCAAGAAGTTTCCTTCGTGGTGTTCCTGAGAATGGGAGTAGACGCTTCCATTGTGGGCCCTCTTGCTGAAGCACGGGCGGCATGGTCACGCCAAAAAGAGGAGAATCCACAGTCGCTGTCCAAGCCCATGCGCTCAACCATGTTCGCCTGCTGGATGCGAACTCTTGGCGAGGGCCATAGGCTTGCCTAGCAAACCTGATGCCATCAAAAAGATGATTGAGATGAAGTGGATGAATCCCGAAGGAACGGGGTGGGGCTACTTGAAATGGGACCAGGACAAGAAAGCCCTGGTCTCTGACGAAGGTAAAGCCCCCGTACTGGCGTCGAAGGCCATTGAGGTCCTGCAAGACGTGCTTCGCTGCTCTATGGATCCAGCTGCTGTCACGCGGTTTTTTCCCACACGGAAGGAGAGGCGATAACCATGCTGTTGCAGTTTGCGCTTCGAGGTGAGTTTTCGGACCGTCTCATACAGCATATGCACACCCTGAGTGGTTTGGCCTTGACGCAGCTATGTGCCAGCCAGCTTCGACCGGATCGTGCGCAGAGATCGGGGTTGGCCATCGCAATTTCAAAAGACCTGGCGAGCTGATCCTGTTGGTCGAGAAATTCAGTGCAGTTCCTGACCCGTTATGGGCCTTCACCCTCCCGATGAGGAGATGGTGTTTCTATGCTCCTAGAGTATGGACGAGACAAGCACGCCCTGGAAAATTCCTGTGCTGGGTCCTGTAGCCAGAGTTCCTTCAATTGGATGTGGCCTTGAACCTCCATGCTCAGGTTTTCGATCAAGTTCTTCCTCTCGAGTTGCCGGATTCCTGGAAGTACGTTCAGCATCATGTTCCGGATGTGGATGTGCATGCATGCATATGGCCTTTCGGTATGCAGATTACACTGGATGCGGATTTTATACATGAGCCTCACCTGTCAAGCACATGCAGCACCTCTTGGGCTTATCAATGTGCACAGGACGTAGCTTTGCAGGCGCCCAGCCAGTAGAGATTGATCTGGAGGATGAGCCGAATCCCCCGGCACCGCATATGCTACCTCTGCCAAGTTTTGTTGATTGCGCTTACGTTGATGGGCAGGCCTCCAACTCATCAGGCACTTCCATGAGGTATAGTCCCTCCGACTGCTCGATGGAGGAGTATGGCATGTCGTCTGCTACTCCTAGTTCGTCAGTTTCTGATGGTGGTTTGTCTTCGTGCTTGTTGTTCACTGATGAGGTCTCTGAGTACAGGTTTTTGGGTCCTCCTCGTAACGAAGCGGATGATCTGGCCTACGTAGCTATGTGTGATGGTGCCATTAGCTATGGACAAATCGGAGTACTTGCTGGGCTACTTCCTGAAAGCCGAACAGTACACCACAGGTACGGCCCCAATCAGCTGCTACGCGCATGTTTTGGTACGGGTGCTTTCATACATGGTCCTCACGCTGGAGTCCGGAAACACGCAGTCGAGTATCCCTGGTGTTCTGTCTTGCTAGCTGCAATGCTGAGATCGTATTTTCCTGGGAAACCATTCAGCTCGTGTGTCTTGCAGATGAACATGCCCACCAATGTTCACAGGGATCAACATAACGACGCGGCCATCAACAACCTGGTCCTTGCATGTTCTAGATGGGAAGGCGGCCAACTTTGGCTAGAGGACCCAGAGGGTGATGCACTTCTAGAAGATGGCTCCAGGGGTCGCCTACTAGATGTACAGCCTAGTGCCACTTTCGATGGGCACGTGCGTCATAAGGCAATGCCATGGACAGGCAGCAGAACGTTGGTCGTTGGCTTCCACATCCGTGATGCATGGAGATTACGTCCGAGTGAGGTGCAGTATTTGACCAAATTGGGTTTCATGCTTCGAGGCTGTGCAGAGTGCTGGAAAATGACGGCATGGTGCACACTACGTCTTGCTTCCGAGTGCGATGCTTCTTTCTTCTGATCGCCGAGGTCTTCCATGTGAAGCCGTAGAGCGCAGATGGTGCCCACTCCCGGCACTGTTTCTTCTTCATAGTATCTCTCACTATCTCCGTTTTCATGAATACTGTACAGGGCGCAATTGCTGCTTGGAGTTTAGACTCGGGTGATTGCAGCCAGTGGAGGCTTGGCTCCTAGGGGCGCTCCACTTTAGTTTATTTTCTGAGTGATTTTTATTCTGAGTATTATGTAGGCTCCCAGGCTTCTTGCGTTGCGTGCGGCCGGCTCTAAGAGCTGCTGGGCTACGCTTGACCATCGACAGCGGTTGCGATCCGAGAGAGAGAGAAGAAGAGCAATAGTAGCAGTAGTAGTAACAATAGGAATAGTAGTCAGAACAGTAATTTTGGTAAATATAGTGATAGCAGTAATCTTGCTGCGGCTCTTGTAGCATCCTGTAGTGCACCGATCACCATTGTTATTACAGTCAGTGCTGCAAAGACTTGGTCCCCTCTTCAGGTTGAAGGCAGCCAACAGTTTTAGACAATGTGCAATCCTCTGGTGGTTTTTAAGGCATGTTTGTGCTGGCTCCTTCAGGAGCTCATTTGCGACCATGAGAGCTGAGGGCTCATGGGGCATGTCACTTCAAGATGCCTCAAAAACCGCCAATCCATTAGTGTGGGACGTTTTGGAGGAAATGGCTTGCAACAGTCCACCGGTGTTTCCCATCATACAGACAAGCCCAGGTTCATCGCTCTCTACGACGAAGCGTGGGCTATGGCGAGGTCCTGCGGTGCATCGTGCTTGTCCACTCCTACCCTTCCACAGTCCTTGGGTGGTGCTAATGGAATGGCGGGCTGCATCTGTATTTGTGAAGGCACGTGGAATCCGATTATTCCCTTTTAAAGCAGAGGGCCACGCCCACTTCAAGCTTCTGAACTTTGTTCTGCTGCAATTCAATTCCGTGTATGCTCTATCCTAGTGTCGCATTTTGTCTGAGATGTAGATTGTGAGGACCTACTACCCCAATAGCATACTGCATCTGGCAGGGACGCCAGCGCCGTCATGCGGGAAGCCACAGGCAACAGAGCTTTGGCCGGCATTGGCCGAAAACAAGAGGGATACAGAAACATGTATCCCCATCACGTGTGATTGTGTATACAGGCAACATGTGAATCTCAAGCTTGAGGTCTCTGTATGGACGTAGTGGGCTTCCTGGTGCGGCCGTCACAGACGAAAGGCTTCTCACCGCACCGCGACAGGTGCGCTGAGGAATTCCTGCCATTTGGATTTGTGGGTCTGTTTGCCATTGGTTTCAGCAACAGCAAGGCATCACGGAGAATCTTGTTTCTTTGAGCCTGATTTTGTCCTTGCAGTGTTTCGTAACCGAGCATGTGGCTGACTTCTGGTACCCAGTATCCGAGCATCAGAATTGCTAGTATGCCGGTTTTCATGATACCAAGGAACCTTAGCGACAGACCGCGTCCAAAGTTGAGATGTCTCGTCTTTGCGTCTCAATCTTTGAGCCGTGTCGGAGATGGAGCCCGTGAAGCATTGACAGTGTCAAGCCCATGGGCTTCTTAATCTTAAATCCTGCAGCATTCTTTGTTCTGTGCCAGTCCCATCTGGCTCCATACTTTGGAAACTCAGCCCTAAGCCCCAAACAGAAGCTCGGTAGAGGAAAACTCAGGTTATAGATATCCTATTGTCCCGTATACTTGTTTCGTCATGTACCAACCTACAACCCAGGGGTGTCCCTTGAGTGACTACATCCTCAGCTAGAAGGTTTACACGCCAATCCTGAATCCTCGCCCTTTGCATGCTGCACTCTGAACCTTAACCTGCAAGTCCCTCACCACGGGACCTCAAAGGTCACAATCCCTCCCTAATAAACCGACCGCGTTGACCTTCCTGCAATACATGTTCGGGCTCCGTCATGTTGGTCTTCTGGAACTTAAAAAATTGGGTTTCAGATTTAGGGTTTAAGGTAGCGTCCAGGGTGAATGGTTTAGGGTCCAGGCTTTCACCAAGGCATTCTAGATTTGGCTAATAGGTCTTGTAATTCTTGCAATACAAGTTGTGAATAAATATCAGTCTATTACATACTTGGACCATTAGCCTTTTTCCTCAGGGCAACATTTACATAATGGGTTACTGTCCCCCAGTCCTTGGTTTAAGGCACACTACCTAACCCAGGCCCTAACAAATGAACAAGCTGGGATGTTCTTTTTCCAGCGTAGGTACATTACGAGACTTGGACGTTCTGTATAAGTGTACTTATGAGACTATGGGTACCAGCTGCTCCATCCTTGGCTTTTTCCAGCTGGCCTGTCTTGTCTGTAGCTCGTTCTTGCTCCACGGGCGCACCCATTCGTTTTACACCCAGGGAACGTACAGTTTGCGATGTAGGGCTCGCAAAAAGCGTAGGGTTAGCTTTCACTGAACATGTCCCCCGAGGAAGTATGGGAAATAAGGTCGTTGTATTGCTGGGTTGGAGGGACTTGAACTGAATGATCCCTGCGACGCTTTGAAATCCTGCACACCTCCATGCAAAGGTAGGTCTAGGCTAGGCGGTTCAGTCCAAAACAACTAACCACAAAGCCGGAACCCTGAAACCTGCAAGTGTGAGCCCCAGACCCAGCAGCTTGAACCCAAATGTGAAACCCTCAAACCCAAGACCCTAGACTGAACCTTAAATGCAAAATCCTAAACCCTAAACCTTGAACCTTCAATCCAAATTCCTGCATTCGGTCTCCTGACATCGGGTGCTGACTAAACCCTAAATTTCAGGAACCTGAAGCCCTTAAGCCTACATTACCTGTCCTGATATATCCCTGTGCATAGAGACTCTGCTCAAGCCCTTTAAAGTTTGTGTTCGCCCACTGCTCCCCCCAAAGGTTCCTACTGCTCACTGAATCGAAACAACATCACAGGAGGGAATGGGGCAACCCAATCCAAACCAGTGCAGACAACATAGAACCCCCAGCCAACCCATCCTCACCGCCGAGCCTTGGAATTTGTACTTTCTTTTTGATTTTTTTTGGTTGTGCCTGCTGCGGGTTACCTTCCTTGGCGTTCTCTTATTTAAGGATAGCTAAGGCTCATTAAGGCTACTTAAGGGGAAGTCTAGGGGGGCTAGTACAGGGGAAAGTTATGGGGGAACGCACGCTTAAAGAGGCAAATAAGTTGCTACGCATCTTGTTTTTCTTTATGTATCCTTACGTATCCCTATATATCCTTATATCCGCTAAATCCTAAACCCTAAATCCTAAAGCCTAAATATTGAAGCCTTAACCTACGCCCTAAGCCCTAAATCCTAAACCCTAAACCATAAGCCCTAAAACCTAAACAGGCAGCCGGAGGACTGGACCCCGAAGGGCGTCCCGCCGGACACTGGCAGCACATTCAAGGCGGTGCTTCGGCTGGAGATATAGGCATATATAGAGATCAGGTTTAGGGATCCGGACACTGGCAGCACATTCAAGGCGGAGCCGCGGCTGGAGATATAGGTATATTTAGGGATCAGGGTTTAGGGATCCATAGGGATTGATAGGGGTACATGGGGAGTTATAGGGATAGACAGGGATTCATAGGGACATCTAGAGATATTCAGGGATCCCTCAAAGGTTTTTCAGTATATGGGAGTTTATACAGAAAATGAAGGGTGTTGAAACAGGATGCAGAATCAAATGGACGCGAAGGTAACAGTTGAAATGTAAACTGGGTATGTGTTTCATGAACAATGTGGGACTTCGCGTGTTTTCTAAGTATTCCATGCTTCCCATTCTGGTGTATGTAAGTAGCAAGCCAGTATTGTCAGCATGCTGGTATTATTCGTGTCACCGACTCCTACTTCTGCTGCTACTAAGGGCTGTGCTGCTGCCAATAGCAGTACTCGGCCCGTAGAGGGCTTAGTCATCTGAGCTTGGGGTATAGCATTCCCGCAAGGATCCCAGCCATAGGATCCAGGCTGCAAAACAACGAGACTAAACTCTTAGACCCCTAAGCGCTAGACCCTAAATCCGTGCAGGAGCCAATGTAAACAGCAGCACACAGAGTTGTCGCAGAGATATCCAAATTCCGGATTTTTTTTCTACTTTCTTGCTCGACTTTTCAAGTACTTCTGAGAGGGTTTACTTCAGGGGGGGATTATATAAGGGGTTTATAGGGGACTACTACAGGGGGTTACTAAGGGGATATTAGGAATTTAGACTATGGCCCATACGGGTCATCAGAAGGTGCTAGTGGGCAGGTTTTTGCAGAGTCTTTTAATTCATTGCTTATTGGGGCCCAATAAGTTCTTGCACGCTGTGTAGACACACACATATATATATACATACGGGTTTGTAATCATATGTACATACATGTATTGTGTGGTCATGACGTGCTGTGTATGTATATGTGTATATATGTCTATTTGTAGATAGGTAGACATGGAACTATGTAGATATGCAGATATGTAGATATGTAAATATATAGATATGTCGATACGTGTATGTTTACAAACATTTTTAGAGTATGCACGTATGAAATATGTATGTACGTACGTATGAACGTATGTATGTATGTATGTATGTATGTATGTATGTATGTACGTGCATATGTATGTAGATATGTCGTTGTGTGGGTAAGGTAGGGTAGGGTAAGGCAGGGTAGGGTAAGGTAGGGTAGGGTAGGGTAGGTAGGTATGTACGTACATACATATGTACGTACATATGTACGTAAGTAAGTAAGTATGTAAGTATGTATGTATGTATGCATGTATGTTTGTGGTATGTATGCATGCATGTATGTACGCACACACCTATTTGGATTGATTCGTACATCTATGTGCGCATGTATGCACTTATACAGGTACATTCTTTCAGGGTGCATATATGAATACACATATTTACAAACACATGTATACACTTGTATGTTGGCGTATTTGCAGATCAACACGTGTGGACACGTAGACATATATTCGTATCGTATTCACACCCATACATGTTTCCATATGTACGCACGGGCACATACACATACCTGCATATACATCTTTGTACATGGCTAGAAGCATCCATACACTCTATTGTATTCCAGGATGGCATGGCAAAGTATGTGACACTCTGGGCAGCTCTCACAGACGCGAACCCCGAGAACTCCTGACTCTTGTTCAGGGTTTAGCGACTGTGGGCTTCCGGAATAAGAATAGGTTAGGTTTTGTTCTGCAGGGTTTGAGGGGCTACAGTTTGGTGTGTCGAGGTTTGGTGTTCGAGGGGCTTGATTTATGGGTCTAGGATTAAGGGCCAGGGATTGTGTAGGGTGTTGGGTTGCGATGTGAGGGGCTGTGGTTATTGCCTTGGCAAGGAGGGTCTGAGAGATCCTTCTTTTGTCGTTGTGTGTTCTGGGATAGTTTTTTGCCTATTACATATGTTACTGAGATCATTGTAGGGCTAATGTTTTGGTACTTTGGGATTGGGTTCGGACATTTGAGTGTGGTCGCTTTCAAGGCCGGCTTTTGAATCTAGGCCATGTCCGTGTTATGGGTTCAAGAATTTCAGCTTATTATGATTGCATGTCCTGTTTCGAAACCCTAGTGGGCGCGGTCACATGTGCCGGCAGGGTGTGCAGCAGGTACAGGTTCAAGCCTTTGGGATTAGGTTGGAACTCCAGTTTAAGCAGAGGCGCAAATGGGAGGGTTGTGGAGGGTCGCAACCCGTTTTAGGTGGGTGAAAACTCAGGCCTGCAGGCAGTGGGTCTCTTGCACGAGAGACTCACTGTTTGCAGAGTTGGCCTGTGAGACAGTGTTTAGAAGGACACACTTCCGACAGTCAAGGATCCACCTTTTTGTGCGTGAAGCGGGACATCTCGAAAGCAGGGTCCCAGTCAAGAGGCCCACTTCGTTGTGCAAGACCCGTGCAGCATCCGTGCTTTCTTAGATGCCACATACTCACTATTGTCAGCGCAGCAAAGCTCTTGTCCTGTGTTCCTGTGGGGCGCTGACAATAATTTCCTGAACAGGATTAACAAGATTCACATGGGCTTGCCGCGATCCTTGTCATCCTGGTGGCCAAGCTGAGTCAACGCATGCAGCTCATGCATAATTTTTTCCGTTGTAGTGTGCTACGATGATCGTTCACACGGTGGGGCATGCTCGTGGTAAGCTCGTCACCTCGACATTGAGTTTTGCAGTCCCAGGTGTTGTTTCGCCAATAACGTCGGTACGAGTTCGTGTCAAAGAAGGAAAATTGATAGGCATGGACAAATTACATGATGCCGCCAACATGACAGGTATCAGAAGCGACCCGAAGTGTTTTCAAGTTTACAAACAGTTTTCACATTCACAAAACCAGGGTTCCTACTTACTAAGAAAAGTTCACGCGGTAAATGGCTTGAACATCGTAAAAAGGAAGCCCTAACATTTTCAATCTTGTGCTAGATACTTTTGTCTCAGGATAAACAACATAGTAGTCTTTAAACGTTCTTTTGTTGTCCCAAGGCTTGCACTTTGTCCCACGCCGAGTGGACCCAGGCCAGGGCCGATTGTCACCACAACGTGGCAAGATGGCTTGTTGAAATTATGGGTCATGTGATCCAGAGATGTTTGGGGATAATTACTTTGCAATGCTGGGTTTTTTGGGTATTCACACCAATGTTTTTGGCTTTGAGGGGCTCGCTGTGATCATGAGAGCATACACTATGTGATAGTGCTTTCACGCAATGTTTACGCACGCTTCTGTTCTCTGTTTTGTTTCGTTCTGCCATTCTCTATCCATGCCGTGGAACAAAACCCCAAAACAGAAATTGGGATGCACACTTCTTTAAAGAACGGCGAGAGCGTTTTTGGTGCTACAAGGTTTTGCTTTGGAGGGGCTCGGCTTTAAAGGCTGAAAAGATCACAGTACAAGATTCAACTGGCCTTATTAAGGAGATAAGAGGAACGGCAGTGCGGGTTGTTCGCGTGTGAAGCTTTGGACGGTTTATATAGTATGCATCGCTATGCTGGAATTGAGCGCCTTCTATACGCAGGTTATTCTGCTGGAGATCCGGATCAAGGGGACCCGATGCTCCGCATATTCCAGGACAAGGCACATGCTTAGGATTTTAAGGGTTACTGTAGTATATTGGCTATATTGGGGTAAGATTTGGATGATAATGGAAAAAAATGGAAACAACAACGTCATATGGTAGTTTCCCTAAATAAGTGGACCCTAATATAGACCCCAATATATTATAGTTCTTATTGTAGGGACCCCCAAAAAGGTACCCCTCATTTTGGGAACCCCCTATGTTGGAGTTTACTTAAGCTTTTGAATCCTCAGCTCCAAAGCCTCAAGCCTCAAGCACCCCGAAATCCCCACACCTTAAAACCCTAAATTCCGAAAACCTGAGCCCCCGGAGATGCTTACCACGTTGCGGCCCGTGGGCCACATGCTACATTCATTCCTTTACATAGAATGATTCTTTGATAACCTGAATTTCGTTGATTCCTAGTATGCCTGCATTTGATTCTCTTATTTGCGTGTGCTTTGCCAGGATCCCCATGAGAGTATCCTTGAAGTCGCCCCCCGTTGATTTTTTTCTTTGTAAAATCTTCTGCGCATGCACTGCTCGGCTCAATGGCCCTAAACCCTCTTCGGAGAAGCTATTGTGACTAGAAAGTCATGAATGCTTGCTGAAAGCCTGCAAGATTCCTGTACGGGTCGCTTTTGGAATTCTGAAAGTGTACTGAATGCATGCCTGCACTAAACTCATGATATACCGTAACATATTATAACATACCATATCATAGCATGATACACTATAATATACAATAATATACCATTATACTTCTATATAGCATAATATACTATAGTATACTATAATATACCCGGAGTGAAGGCCGCATTTCAAAGCATCCGCAGCGCTCCAGTCACTGCTGGAGGCTGGCGATTCGGGCTCTTTCGGATGAAGGCGAAAATCAGTGTCCAGGGATTCAGGGCTTAAACTGGAAACGAACTACTATGGTGTTTGGGGTTCAGGGTTCAGGGAATGCATGGTGCTGGTATTGATCACAAAACTTTGTTTGGAAGCCCCACACGAAGCACTGATGTCGCTTTAGTGAGGTCCTCACAGGCTAAGGGCTCTTCTGACTTCACACGGCTTAGAACTTGGCTTTTTTTTGCCTCTCCTAATTGGCTTCATTCCCGAGCGGAGTGTTCAGGGGCTAACTGGGGCTTAGGACTGATCCAAGATGCCGTGCTATATAGGGTTATTTAGGCATTGTATAGCAGCAATGGAAAAGAAAATGGGAACTACTCATTGGGGCTTAGGTTTTGGTTCGAAGTCTTCGAACACAGGCTCCGGCGAAATCATGTTATTTGTCATTTTGCTTGCTTCATTTCAGTCTTGCCAGTTTTTGCCATCAAGACTTTGCGTGTTGACATTAGGGTGCATATCCCTGAGACAGACTTTGGCTGCTCATGTACGGGCACGAAGCTTGCAGCATTGCATGAGGAATAACAACCGACTCACTGATGGTACACTCCCCCACACTAACATGGAGACCCACATAGTTCCCCTTCAGAGGGACCATAGTCTTTATAGGGCCCTTTTTGGGTTTCCATGTTAGTTTCCGGGAGTGTACCCACAATCCGAAATTCCAAACTTCCATACCCTGGAACAGAGCTAAAAGAGGTCTTCAGGTTGTCCTACCACCCTTGTAAACCACCCTGAAATCCTTTTCTCCAGCAAAAGATTCAAACTTTGACCCTAAACCCTGTACATCACCAGAAATATTACAGCCTGAAATTAGAAGTGCCTTGTAAGGTTGTCCTTTTTGGATGCGATGCCCCTGCCACATACAGTAAGCCCTCCCTGAACCCTAAACCTGAAGCCCTGAAGCCCACCCCCTCCAGGCTGCACTTTCCACACGCACCGCACCATCCACTGGGGCTCTGCTGGCCGGCGCACGGCCGATGTGGCCCCGCGGATCGCGCTTTCCTTTGGCGGCTTGGGAGTACTGGCTTAGCTTCAGGTTTTCGTGTGGGGGTTTAGGGGTTGAGGCCCTTAGGCCCCAGTCCAATTGCAAGCTATGTCAGCTTATCTTGCACCTTGTTTGTGATCTCGTCATGGTGAAGTCTTGTGCCCTACATGTGTGCAGGGGTTTCCATTTAGATTCTGTGAGGTCTCGGGAGCCAATGTCACGGGGTACATGTAACCCCAATATACTATAGTAGCTTCCATTCTCTTTTCCATGATCCCTATATAAGCGGGAAGCTGAGCTGTCATGGTATGAGCTTTCTGGGTAATTTAGTCAGAGGTTTTTGTACCAGGGCTCATGGTGGCTTGAACAGTTCCCCGCGTTCTTTTTGAGTGCGTTTAAGTGATTTTTTCCGTTTCAGCCGAGCTTGAGGAGCGGGGCCTCAAAAATATGTGAGCCATAATTTGAATTCCTTAAAGGGGGGATATATAAGGGATTATACAGGGGACTTCTAAAATTCTAAAGGGCATATTAAGGGGGGTACTAAGAGATTTTCAAAGTTTAGACGCTAGCTCAGGTAGACGTCGCAGAATGTTCCAAATATCATGTTACTTACAAGGCTTGCGAGATTTGCAAGACACCTTGCGGGACATCGTTTTGAGGAGGGTTGAAGAAACTGCAGAGATTCGGGCGAGGTTTCTGGTGTGACCATGGCAACACTTTTAGTCAGGCTTCGCAAAGGCAGCTTCCATGTTCTTTTCCATTACCACGATATACTACAGTAGCTTTATTTGTCTCTTCCAGTATCCCTATATAACCCCAATGTACTATGGTAGTTTCCATTCTCTTTCCCTAAACCCTAAACTTTGAGGGAGTCGAAGCCAGAGCTCTGCCCACAGAGTCTTGAGCGCCAAGGTTTCAGCACAGAGGACTGTGACCTTCCTGTTGGAATCGTGACAAAGTTGCCATGAATACGTTCTCAATTGTGGCTTATAAGGGATCTCCATGGCGCAGGAGAGTGAAATGTGTCCCGTGCTCAGCAGGTGAGCCACTTTCAGTTTGACTGTGGGTGCAGTTGCAATTCTGAGCGCTGCATTCCATGACATATTAAGATTATCGGAAGCTTGCTGTTTATGGTTGCTTAAGCTGCTTGTCGTCTAGTGGCTGTTGGGTTCAAGGTTTTACCAGCCTAGACTGTTGTGAGTCCTCAGCGCCAAAGACCTCAACAGATCTCAACAGCGATCAACGGAAGGATTTTGAGCCGCCGTACTTCTCCCCGAAGGTGCGCTTCGGGGCAAGTTAGGCCATGGCTCTCTCTAAGGCTCTAGGGGCTTCAAAGGGTTCTGAGGGGTTTGTAGCTGCAAGGCTTCAATTTCTGACGCGGAGCAGCTTACGTCAGTGGGTTCTCTCAGAAGTGTGCGCGGTCCTCTTGATGGACCGAGTAAGAATCTGTTTTCGCAGATCAGCCAAAGCAACACATCCTGCTGCCTGGCAGGCCCTACCCAAAGGCCCAACCCAATGTCCACCCACCCTAAAGGCAGCCTAATGATTTGGAAGCTCCATAGGCCAGATGCATCGCAAGTTTACGCAAACATAGAGGATTTTTGGAGGGATGGGTTTCAGCTAACTCGAAAAGAGCTTTACACACTTGGCCAGCGGCAACCCCTCAGACCGGCAAGAAAATCAACTATGACAACCGCTTTAAGCCTAAATACTTTTGTGGACAGCTTGAGGAAGCTTAGGCACAGTGCAAATTCTGTATGGTTCACGAAAAGCCTCCTTGGCCGAGCGGTGGCGTTGCAATGGGATGGTCCCTGCAGATATCATGGCAGCCCGAAAGTGGGCCCCACAAAGACTTTGTCCTGTCAGAACGGACCTGTACGAATTTCCATGCTAGAGCTGGGGAGAGTATTTCGTCCTTCCATCAACCAAGAGAACTCCAATGCCTGCGAGGCATAACCCTAAACCCTAAACCCTAATCCCTAAACGTGGTTCACCATGCGCCTTCAGCTCCAAACACTGGCCTCGGCACTCACACCCCTCATCCCTGCAACCTGAATCCTGCTTTGTAAGCCTCGGAGTCTCCTTTGAGTTTCATAGCTGGTAATAAGCTACCTTTTTTACGCTATAAGTGTAACGCTCAAGCCCAGGCCCTGAAGCACGATCCCAAGACCCGATCTTGGAGAATCATCTAGACGTCCCTAGTTACTTTACTCCTAGGTGCTCCTGTTCCTATATTCCTGGATACCCCTATGCTGAAGCCCAGAACACGAGACTGTTCAGGCGCTGCCGTTTCCGGATCTACGGCTGCGGGCGGCTCTTGCTTCGGCACCTTGGAAACGGACCCGTTAAAGGGTTTATAGGCTTCTACATAGGATCTCTTTAAGGGGTTGGCAGGGTTTTATGTCGGATGCTTCCAAAGGGTGTCTAGGGAAACATAATTAGAGTTCAGATTTTTGGCAAAATCATCGGGGATTGTCCAAATTATGGCTACTGTCAGGTATCCTAAATGTTGAGCTCTGTACTACAAAGGTGACCCCAAACAAACACCATACTTTTGACAACCCCCGTATCGGGCTAAGGTGATAGTGCTGAATCAAATCAGGGTATACAGGGGGCATTATTTCTGAGACATTTTCTCCAGGGATGCTTCGGTATCCTGACTGTTTAGGGGTTCCGACGAGGATTCATTTGTTAACTTATAGGGAGGGTTGTATAGCTGTTTGGATTCTGTGCTTCTTGAAGCGTCTAGAATCGTCATGAGGATTCTGTAGCAATTCCAGCAGTATAAATACAGTATATACGTAGGTTGAACCTATTCACTATCAATTGCTTTGATAAGTTTGTCATTTGCCTGGAGCCCAAAATCCCAGGACAGTAATCTTTGCAGGGTCCTGCGTGGGTCGCCAGGTTGGTTTGGAGACGTGAAGTTGCCCGATGTACGCCTCAAAACCCAAAACCCTAAACCCAAAGGTACACAGACATTGGGGCAATCTTTGTTTTGGGTCCGTAGTGGTGGCGGATGGAGGAATTTCGTACATTTTTTGCAAATTTAGCTCCGTTAAAACAACAATTAGGCCAAGGCGGGTGAACTGCGCAAATTTTCGCCTCAGTTCTCATCGTACAGGTCAGGGAAAAATAGCCAGTCTGACTCGTTGACATGCGCTTGAGCTTGTCTACCGCTAGCCAACTGCACGGAGCAATGTCTGTATACAGTATACAGGAACCCAGGTTTCCAGGGCACCATCAGTAGCTTACACTTTTTGATGTGGGTCTTTTCAGTTGTACTGTAGGTTGTTCCAGCAAACTAATTGTCTCCGAGGAGTTGCCCCCAGAATCCTTTTGTAGCTTCTGAGGTCCATGAAAGTAGTATCTTATTTGGAGATACTATGGTACCCAATATAGAGTAAGATTATATCCTCGTTTTGGGTATAGTATTTTATATAAGGAATGTTATCTTACTAGGTTCAACCACCAAAAAAACGCTGCTCATGAGGGTTTTTGTTGAGAGCAGCGTAATCGACGCCAGCGCTTGGTACAGCTGCATATGACGATTTCTCAGGATCTGGGCACCCATAGCGTCTCTCGATAAGAATCCCGCAGCAATTTTCCTGTTGTGAATGCCTCTTCGGGCATTTTGCACGTGTTTTCGATGTGCATACAAGTTTTGAGATGGTCACTTATACTTGCCTCAAGGTAGCTACCTCCTTAGACTCTGAAAGTAGGAGCCAGAAGTGTGCGTTATCGGAACCCTGCAAGTGTCCCGCATATCTTCGTATCTGTTTACATACACGCCGTCGTCATTGTATACAAATCTGTGTCATTGTCAACGCAATTTTTCTTAAACCTGGACTTCCATGATTGCTGTACAAGCGTGAATCAGTACCAATACTATTTCTTTCATAATCCTCCTTTGACTTCAGCAGAATACGTCCAAGGCCCTATTCTAATTTTCTGTCTTGGTAGCCGCCTACATTGCAATCCTTCTGGACGTTTACATAAAATCAAATTTCCATTTCATTGTCTATTGTCTCGTCCATCTGATTTTTCATTGTTCTACATTGGGTCCTGCCCCCACCCAGCAACAGTTGGATAATATGTATATTATGGCTATATATAGCCCTTAATATTACCCCTATTATAGGCTGTTACTGGTGAGGGGCAGGACCCTAAGCCCTAAACCCTGAATCCTAAATCCCATTGTTCTAAAGTTCTTAATGCCCGTGTTCGGCTCTGCCATGTTGCTGAGGCCCAGGTCCTCAACTATGCAGCTCGTGACTGTTTTTGAGCTTGGGGTTCTGTGTCTATGGCGGTCATTTGTCGGGGGTGTAGGTACATATATAGTCATATATATCTGTAATATGTATGTATATGTGCATAGAAGCGAAGAAGGTAATCCATCTGCATATGTGTATTTTAACATATATGGCGATAGTGTTGTTTTGAGGGGTCGGTTGGCTTCAACTCATGAACCTCCAGGGACCCGCTTCGTGTCTACCAAACGCAGCATCCATGAATTTTTAACATCCAAACAAGGACGGGCACTGAAGTGTTGCATGTTCTGGAGAAACCTTGTAGCCGCGGGGTAAATCTTTCAAGTGTTTAATTCTGTCTCAACATTCCTGTATAAGCAATAAGGCCACCCTGGCCGTGGGAGATCGCGAAGGGTGGAGTGCACTGGCAGGCCCCTCCCCATAGTCTTTCTTGGTTACAAAAGGCTTATAACCTAAGAATGGAAAAGAACATGGAAGCCACTATTTAGGATTCAGGGTTTAGGGATACATACCCCAATCGTAGCGAATCAAATGGACAAGAAATTGTAAAATTAAATGGAACCTAGGATTATGTAAGACGTTTATAGGGATTATAGGAACTACTGTCAATATATAGGGTTTTCAAGGTTCTCAAGGGACCAAGGTTGGACATAGGGGTCCGTCACTTTTGGCAGTTTAGTAGAGTCAAATAGTGACTGTAGCTCACATGATTACAAAACTGTCCTATTTTTTAGGGGTTGGGGTTACCAAACTCCCCTTATTCTCAAGTACACG